CAAATTTATCAGAAAGCCACTTCCGTTAGTTTATTTATTAGTTGGTCTCGTCAAATTGATCGATTTAAATGTCAAAATTGATATATTCGTGTTGAAATTCGAACAAGCAAACTTACCGAACTCTTGTCCCAATACAAACTAATATTGAACCGACATATCGATTAACCGGTATGTCTCAAAATAAATTATTATTTGTATTATAAAAAATATATTTAGTTTTTTTCTTTATAATTTTTTATCAATACTTTATATTATGTTTGTTTAGAAAAATAATGCATATGTAAACAACATATAATGTGTAACATGACAGTTATCAATGTGCAATTCGTGTATCACTATGGTGCATTCGCAAATTCATTAATGTGCAATCGGTATAACACTACGGTGCAATACTGTAATCACTAATATTCTTTTTATTTTTTATTTATTTTTTATTCATTTATTTCTATAATCACTAATATTCATTTTGTTTATTGTGCATTTTTGAATACATCAATGTGCATTTAATATAATACTAATGTGCATAATCATACATACATTGTACACTTTCTTATAATGAATGTGCTTTTACTAAATTTTCATTATTTACAAATTTAACCCACATACCCAATTGCAATACAATTAAATTTGTAAAATTGCATATAAGACCCTTGAAATAGTCTAATTTTCAATCTTAAGCCCCTGGTTCAATTTCTAGATTCCGGCCGACCACTACCCACCAGGGGCGGACCCAAGGGGGGTCCCGCAGGGGCACGTGCCCCTGTGATGAAAAATTTCAACTAGTATATATATAATAGTGTATAATATAATACATATGGTTTTTAATATAAAATACATATAGTTTTTAATTATATCACATTTTCTTGTGGGCCCGGAACCCCACTACACTCAACCAAGATTTTTCTTACTCCCGTCACTCATCAGTACTGAAGAGTGAAGATTCCTTCTTCTTTACTTACTTCTCTATTCTGTATTACAAAATTTCTTCTGTTTGGGTCGAACGGCGAATAGGCGATTACAAGAAAAGAAATAAAAAAGATCTTTCAATAATTGAAGGTATGCTTTATTTAAAGGATCTTTCTACTGCTATCAATTTTTATTTAAAAGGTATGCTTTATTTAATTATTTTTTAGTTTTTATAACCCTAAATTTTGTATTTCGGTATTTTCAAAATTAATTTGATTTTTAATTTAGGGCTTTTATGATTTTGATAAAATAGCATCTTAAAATGTTATTTCTTATTTGTTGTGCATTTTTTATGTATTATTTGTTTTAAGTAATAACAGTTTTAAAATTAGCTTGTAATTTTTTAAGTACTAACCTAATCTGATTATTATTTGTCATATTAGTTATGGAGAAATATTATAAACAAGAATGTACGAGTGTTGCCGATGAAAGAAATGTCCAAAAAAAGCTAAGAAAATTATGTTGATGTTGGCACGGCCATTCGGCCCATTCCCGATGAATTATATTGTGCCCCCTACTTCTAAATTTCTGCGTCCGCCTCTGCTACCCACGCCTCCGCCGTCTTGATCACGGGAGGTTGCGATCAAAGCTTCCATGTCCCGCCGCCGTTCGGTGCCAAGATTCCGTTGTCCACCATGGTTGGAGCTGACCTGAGTTTCACGTCCGGGAGAAAAACGACGCTGGATTCTGGCGCCGCTGCGGCACCGGCCGCCAGGTGAAGGCTCGCTGGCGTTGTCGGACCTCTGGACGCAGTGGATTTTGGGCGCGTATGGTGACGGCCTTATCGTCGGTCAGCGTAGGTCAGCGTCAGCGGCGAAATTGCAGTGAATATGGCGACGGAAGTGGGTGCCGGTGTCTGGGATGAAGGCGGCCATGGCAGCAGACCGAGCTTCTGCTATGTGTGTGTGGGGGTGAGAGAGAGAGAGAGAGAGAGAGAGAGAGAGAGAGAGA